GGAGAATAAAATGATTGTACTACTCGTAACAAATATCTGATGCTGATGTTGTAACATGTCAACTCATAAAAGAAAAAAATGCTCCATTGCTCGGGGTTGAACCAGATCAATTTCATCATTTGAAAGTAACCAGTAGTAGTCCAACAATTATTAACTAGTGATATGAATATGATCATTTGTTCAACTGCTACAAACGTTTAATTTAGTGACTCATCGAAGACTCAAAATGGAATTTGTAGGACTTGTAAACATTTAGCCTAAAAATGGGCCTTACCCGTCAGTGAATAACCCTTCACTAAGGTTTTTTTTTGTTTTTTTCATCTAATCGTTGACTTTATTCAATAAAACCGTGGAATACAAAGGTAGATTACAGATTTGAAATACTTAGCCGGCAAGACCCTTAAAAAAAAGGAGACTTACCATTTATACTAAAAAAACAAAGGTGACACAAAGACCAAAATCGAATCCAGGATAATGAAGATCATATCGCCAAGGCTATCTGACACTGACCAAACGCAATCGGTTAATAGAACTTGAAACAACCATAAAGAGATGCACCAACATCAACCTGTTGGGCAAGGTATCACTGCCTCGAAAACAATCTCTTCAAATTCAAGTCGTCAACAACAACCAAGAAAACATCAAAGTCAGAACAGCCAGAACAAACCACGAGATTCCAAATTCGCAACCCCAGACCAAAGAGGACCACGGTAATTTGAGACAAGAACTCTCCACTGCAATCACAAAAAGCGACCGAGCTTGCGAGACCACGAAACCGAACAAATCACCACCAGAACGGGAGAGGACAATACATGGCCTAGAGCTGAAGACAAGCACGCGTCCGTAGCGAGAGTAGCTATGTCGCACCCTCAAGAGTCCCCCGAAGTCTAATGTATTAGGCGCTACCAAACCACGTACTCCAGCCCTCTAAACCAAACTAAAATTTCCAACCGGACCAGAACCATATCTGGCTTGAAACGAACACAAACCAAGGGTTGAAAGCGGAACCCTCGTCCAAGAAAACTCCTCCAAATATTGCATCACTTCGTAATCGAAGAGGACATATCAACACTGAACAAGGGATACAGATATCCAGCGACGAACTACCAAATAATCCTAACCTCCAGAGAAGCCCTTCTCTAAGGTTTAAATGTGGTATTTGAAGCTAACAAATTTAAATCTCAATCTTATACATTAGTTTTTTTTGTTTTAACTATTTGCTGGAACGAGAAGGAAAACTCAAAACTCTCTCTGGTCCGAGTCCCTAGGTGGTTTGGTGAGATGACTGGTTTTCCTCAAAATTGAATTCCTACTTGGCTTTCTACCCGGTTTATTGCCGTTTAAGGATGCTTTTTCAAATTCACCTTTTCAACCACCAAGTCTCAACATCGTTTTAGAAAGTTTTTGAAATCGCTTGACATTTTCTGTCATCTCTCCGGCATCTACCCACTTAGTTGGGTCTGATTATTCTCTTCTGCCTTGTGCAGATTGTCTCCTTGCAAGCGTTGAAGGGTCAAATTGCTTAACACCTCTAGTCCTTAATTTGCTAGACAACTCTCCACCGATCTCTTCTCCAAGCAGCATGTTACACCGGTATTCAAGAGCAGAGAAAGGCAAAGTCGTAGCAACTCACAGCCGAGAGAAAAGGGATCTCCCGATATAACTTCCCCCAATCGATACATTTGCACTCATCTCAGCTAATATCCTCACTCTTATTGGTCGGGTATTGAATACTGAAGTTCAGAGACCCAAGGCTGTGGTCTTTTTCCTCCCGTCTCTTTAGTTGGGGGTCAGCCGTGTCATTGGCAAGGACCTCGGACGAGATAAAATTCAGTTCAGATTTGAGACGGAAGAAGATCTACAAGCAGTGCTCCGAAAAGCGCTCTTTCATTACAAGCGGTGGATGCTTATTATCCAGCGGTGGGAATCGATTATCTCGGAGACCTTTCCCTCCAAAATCCCATTTTGGGTCAAGGTACATGGACTACCCCTCCACTCTTGGACGGACAAAGCCCTCGCTACTATTGGCAGCAAACTCGGCAAGGTGGTCAAGACGGATGCTGATGATGTCTGGGTCAGGGTTGAGATTAACGCCTTGCAACCTCTAGTCAGGAGCAAGTCTATCCAATTTTACTCAGGTGAGGAGACAACGATTGAACTGGAATATGAAAATCTTGGGAAACATTATTTCACCTGCCTCCGACTCTCACATGAAGCGATTTCTTGCCCACAAAATCCAAAGACCTGTGACAAGACACTTCTCCCCCTCCCCCAAGATGTGGGTATCAATCAGGAACTTACGCTACAACGTATTGAGGAACAAAAGAGAAGGGCCTGGGATCGCAGAGAATGCTCGCGGGAGTACAAGCCACCCAGAGATACTAGAAGGGACCGACACGAACACGCTGGCTATCGGATCTCCCAGCCCACTGCAGACAGTGGAAGTCCACTATGAAGATAATTTTAACCCAGCCCTATTTGAACAAGACAGAGAAGATGACTTGCCGCCTAGACATAAACCAGGCTCAAACAGAGTACAAATCTCCCCCAACCCGGTAGGAGTACTAGTTCAGAGCTCACCGCATTCCCAGTCTCACCTGCCATTAGCGCTTTGACTTGGGGACAGATTTGAGAGTCCCCGAAACATTACCTTCGTCGCAGATGAAGAGCCTTTAGACTCGGCTGTGATTATGG